TGGTGTCTGCACCCTTCACTGTCCACCGCTCAGACTCTGAACAGGATCTGTTGCCCACTCTTGGGTTTGATATTTACATTTCTGGCTTTTATTTCTGCCCCTCACCCATATCAGCACGGTGATGGACCCCAGTGGTAACTTCTGCTCCTGAGTGTGAGGGAAAATTTCTCAAGAACAGTTCTTGTGGCACCACCTTGAACAGACCTCCAACTTAGTCACTATCATCAGTTACCCAGCTGCCTTGGGCATTTTTTTTAGGATCCCAAGGGAAGGATATTTATTTCTCCACTTTCATCACTACAGATTCCTTGGTAACAAGGAAGAACTCAATTTTGTAATTAAAATAAAAGAGAAGTAACCCAACAAAACCAACTAACCAAACCAAACCAAAGACCTGAAGTAACCCACACGTCTCTCCTAGGGTGAAGCTGATGACTTAAGGATAAGACCAAGTAAGTGTACAAATGACAGAAGACATCAGATTAATTGAAATGTTTTCATCCTCCTTGCAATGTCTCTTAAAAAGCAAAGACTGCGAACTCATGCTGCCCCACCTACTGGCCAGCCAAACCGGGTAGCATACTGGAGCAAAAGAGGAGGTCATAGGCCCAACTGTCTGGTTACCCTGCTTAATACAGGCCATCTACTCCTTGTCTTCCTGCAAACCACACAGCAGCATATCGCAAACAATCCCTCCTCCGGAGTTGCAGTCCAATCATCAGCCTATGAGAAAAACTACTTCACGTGAAACTTTCCTTTGCCCATTTTAAGGTCAGCTTAAGGAGCCCTGGTGACCCAGTGGTTAAAGTGATCGACTGCTAACTGTAAGGTTGGGGGTTCAAAACCACCAGCTCCGTGGAAGAAAGATGTGGCAATCTGCTTCCATAAAGATTTACAGCCTTGGAAACTCTATGGGGCAGTTCTCCTCTGTCCTATAGTGTTGCTGTGAATTGACTGGAGGCAGTGGATTGCTTACTCGTATGGCCCAGCAGGGTGGCACAGGAGAACCTGGACACATTCAGAATGCTCATCAGTTCGGAGTGTGTACGCAGTAATTTTGATATCTGTTGCCTCAAATACCTCCTCAGTCATTGTGGATACATTTTCCCATTGCAGACGACCAAGGCCACATTCAATCCTGGTACCTGTCTTCCAAGATGTTGAACATTTTTGATCTACAACATTCCTGGGCATGGAGAGGTCCTTGACTGCATTCTCCAGGCAATGGGATTTCATGACCTGTAAATTCTTCTGTTAGTTTTCATAAGTTGGTTTGTGCAAAGCCCTTGTCTTTGTAATCAAGTAATAAATATGTCGCCCATCTCTCTTCAGAACAGCCACTTCTCCAGGTTTCTTTTGTTGACTTAACAGTTCTTGCACCCCTCAAAATTTCTTTTTTTAAAATTGATTTTTACTGTACTTTAGATGAAAGTTTACAGAGCAAACTGGTTTCTCATTAAACAATACACATATTGTTTTGTGACATTGGTTACCAAGCCCACGACATGTCAACACTCTTCCCTTCTCGACCTTGGATTCTCTATTACTAGCTTTCCTGTCCCCTCCTGCCTTCCCGTCCCTGTCCCTGGGCTGGTGGGCCCATTTAGTCTCGTTCTGTTTTATCGGCCTGTCTAATCTTTGGCTGAAGGATGAACCTCAGGAGTGGGGTTTCTCCAGTCTCTGTCAGACCAGCAACTTTGGTCCTTTTTTTATTTTGTGAGTGAGAATTTAGTTCTACATTTTTCTCTAGCTCTTTCCATGACCCTCTACTGTGATCCCTTTCAGAGCAGTCGGTGGTGGTAGCCGGGCACCATCTAGTTGTGCTGGACTCAGGCTGGTGGAGGCTGTGGTAGTTGTCGTCCATTAGTCCTTTGGACTAATCTTTCCCTTGTGTTTTTGGTTTTCTTCATTCTCCCTCGCTCCAGATGAGGTGAGACCAGTGGAGTATCTTAGAAGGCTGCTCACAAGCTTTTAAGACCCCAGAAGCTACTCGCCAAAGTAGAATGCAGAACATTGTCTTTGTAAGCTATGTTATGCCTGTTGAGCTAAATGTTCCCTGAGACCATGGTCCCCACAGCCCTCAGCCCAGTAATTTGGTCCCTCAGGGAGTTTGGATGTGTCTATGGCGCTTCCATGACCTTGCCCTGGATGATTTGTGCTGGCTTCCCCAGTAATGTGTACTGTCTTATCTTTCACCAAAGTTACCACTTATCTGTTGTCTAGTTAGTGTTTTTCCCTCTCACCCCTCCCCTCCCTCATAAACGTCAAAGATTGTTTCGTTTTGTATGTAAACCTTTTCATGAATTTTTATAGTAGTGGTCTCATACAATATTTGTCCTTTTGTGATTGGCTTATTTCACTCAGCATAATGCCCTCCAGATTCATCCATGTTGTGAGATGTTTCACAGATTCATCACTGTTCTTTATCATTGTGTAGTATTCCATTGTGTGTCTGTACCGTAGTTTGTTTATCTATTCATCTGTTGATGAGCACCTAGGTTGTTTCCATCTTTTTGCTACTGTGAACAATGCTGCAATGAACATGGGTGTGCGTATGTCTATTCCTGTGATTGCTCTTATTTCTCTAGGATATTTTCCCAGGAATGGGATTGCTGGATCATATGGTATTTCTATTTCTAGCTTTTTAAGGAAGTGCCATATCATTTTCCAAAATGGTTGTATTGTTTTGCATTCCCATCAGCAGTGCATAAGAGTTCCCATCTCCCCATAGCCTCTCCAATATTTGTTATTTTTTGTTTTTTTGATTTGTGCCAGTTTAGTCGAGGTGAGATGGTATCTCATTGTGGTTTTGTTTTGTATTTCTCTAATGGCTAGTGATCTCAAGCATTTCCTCGTGTATCTGTTAGCTGCTTGAATGTCTTCTTTGGTGAAGTGTCTGTTCATATCCTTTACCCACTTTTAATTGGATGATTTGTCTTTTTGTTGTAGAAGCATTGGATTTTCCTGTAGATTTTAGAGATTAGAACTTTGTTGGATTTGTCATAGCAAAAAAATTTTTTGCAGTCTGTAGGTTCTCTTTTTACTCTTTTGGTGAAGTCTTTTGATGAGCATAAGTGTATAATTTTTAGAAGATCCAAGTTATCTAGCTTATCTTCTGGTGTTGGTGTACTGTTAGTTATGGTTTATATCCTGTTAATGCTGTGTATTAGGGACTATAGGGCTGACCCTATTTTTTTCTTCTATGATCTTTATAGTTTTTGGTTTTATCTTTAGGTCTTTGATCCATTTTGGATTAGTTTTCGTGTATGGTGTGAGGTATGGGTCCTGTTTTATTTTTTTTGCAGATGGACATCCAGTTTTGCCAGCATCATTAGTTAAAAAGACTGTCTTTTCCCCAGTTGATGGACTTTGAGACTTTGTCGAAGATCAGGTGACTGTAGGTGGATAGATTTATATCTGGGTTCTCAATTCTGTTCCATTGGTCAATGTGTCTGTTTTTGTACCAGTAGCAGGCTGTTTTGTCTACCATAACTGTATAGCAGGCTCTGAGGTCCGGTAGTGGGAGTCCTCCTACTTTATTCGTCTTCTTCAATAACGCTTTACTTAACCGAGGCCTCTTCCCTGTCCATATAAAGTTAATGATTAGTTTTTCCATCTCTTTAAAGAATGTTGTTTGTATTTGGATCCAGATTGCATTGTATTTGTAGATTGCTTTGGGTAGAATTGACATTTTCACAATGCTAAGTCTACCTATCCATGAGCATGGTATGTTTTTCCACTTATGTAGGTCTCTTTTGGTTTCTTGCAGTAGCGTTTTGTAGTTTTCTTTGTATGGGTCTTTTACATCCCTGGTTAGATTTATTCCTAAGAATTTTATTTTTATAGGGGCTATTATAAAAGGTATTATTTTCCTGATTTCCTTTTCGTTGTTCTCTTTATTGTTGTATAGGAATCCAACTGATTTTTTATGTTTATCTTGTATCCTGCTACTCTGCTGAATCTTTCTATTAGTTCCACTAGTTTTCTCATGGAGTCTTTTGGGTTTTCTATATATAGTATCATATCATCCACAGATAGGGGCAGTTTACTTCTTCCTTACCAGTTTGAATGTCCTTTCTTTTTCTTGCCTTACTGCTCTAGCTAGGACTTCCAGCACAGTGTTAAATAGGAGTGGTGATAAAGGACATCCTTGCTTTGCTCTTGTTCTCAAGTGGAATGTTTTCAGCCTCTCTCCATTAAGAATGATGGCTTTTGGTTTTGTATAGATGCCCTTTATTATGTTGAGGAATTTCCCTTCTATGTCTATTTTATTGGGAGTTTTTATCAGGAATAGGTGGTGGACTTTGTTGAATGCATTTTCTGTGTTGAGTGAGATGATCATGTGATTATTTTATTTTATTTATGTGGTGGACTACGTTGATTGATTTTCTAATGTTGAACCATCCTTGCATAACTGGTATGCATCCCACTTGGTCATGGTGTATTATTTTTTTGATATGATGCTGAATTTTATTGGCTAGAATTTTGTTGAGAATTTTCCCATCTATATTCATGAGGAATATTAGTCTATAATTTTCTTTTTGTGGTGTCTTTGCCTGGTTTTGGTATCAGGGTTATGCTGGCTTCATAGAATGAATTTGGAAGTATCCCTTCCTTTTCTGTGTTCTGAAATAGTTTGTATAGTAGTGATGTAAGCTGTTCTCTGAATGTTTGGTAGAATTCTCCAGTGAAGCCATCTGGGCCAGGGCTGTTTGTTTTCTTGGGAGTTTTTTAGGTTACCTTTTAAATCTCTTCTCTTGTTAGGGGTCTGTTAAGATTTTCAACGTCAGTTTGTGTTAGTTTGGGTAGGTAGTGTGTTTCTAGAAATTTGTCCATTTCCTCTAGGTTTTCAAATTTGTTGGCATATAGTTTTTCATAGTACTCTGTTATGATCCTTTTTATTTCAGTTGAGTCTGTTGTAATGTACCCCGTTTCATTTCTTCTGTGGGTTATTTGCACCCTCTCCTGTTTTTCTTTCGTCAATTTGGCCAGTGGTTTGTTGATTTTGTTGATCCTTTCAAAGAACAAACTTTTGGTTTTGTCGATTCTTTCTATTGTTTTTTTCTATTCTCTATTTCATTTATTTCTGCTCTGATCTTTATTATTGCCTTTCTTCTGGTGGCTGTGGGCTTCTTTTGCAGTTCTCTTTCTATTTGTTCAAGTTGTCCAGCTAATGTTTTGTTTTGTCCCTTTCTTCTTTTTTGATGTATACATCTATTGCTATAAATTGACCTCTGAGCACTGCCTTTGCTGTGTCCCAAAGGTTTTGGTATGATGTGTTTTCATTCTCATTTGAGTCTAGGAATTTTTGATTCCATCTTTGATTACTTCTATTACCCAGTGGTTTTAAGCAGGGCGTTATTCAGTTTCCATGTATTCGATTTTTTTCCCTTGCTGTTCCTGTTATTAATTTCTTCTTTGATGGTACTGTGATCAGAGAAGATACTTAATATTATCTCAATGGTTTGGATTTTGTTGAGGGTTGGTTTGTGGCCTAAGATTGTGGTCTATTCTGGAGAACATTCCATGTACATTGGAAAAGAATGTGTACTTTGCTGCTGTTGGGTGGAGTGTTCTACAAGTCTATGAGGTCAAGTTGGTTGATTGTGGCCTTTAGATCTTCTGTATCTCTGTTGAGTTTCTTTCTAGATGTTCTATTCTTTACCAAGAGTGGTGTGTTGAAGTCTCCTACTATTGTTGTGGAGCTATCAATTTCTCTTTTCAGTGCAGTTAGAGTTTATGTATTTTGGAGCCCTGTCATTGGGTGTGTAGATATTTATTATAGTTATGTCTTCATGATGGATTGTCCCTTTAATCATTATATAATACCCTTCTTTGTCTTTTATGGTGGATTTTGTTTTAAAGTCTATTTTATCTGAGATTAGTATTGCCACTCCTGCTCTTTTTTGGTAGCTGTTTGCTTGATATATTCTTTTCCATCCTTTGATTTTTAATAAGTTTATGTCTTTGTTTCTAATGTGTGTCTCTTGTAGACAGCGTATTGATGGATACTATTTTTTTTTTAGTCCCTTCCATCACTTTACGTCTCTTTATGAGTGCATTTAAGCCATTTACGTTCAGTGCGATTACTGATAGGTGTGAGTTTATTGCTGTCATTTTGTAGTGCTTTTTTTTTTTGTGTTGACATTTTCTTTGTTCCTCTTACTCTTTTGTGCTGAATTCTTTTTATTTGTATATTTTTTCATTTCTTTTGTTTTAGTAGATTTTGTGTTCACTGAGATTTTGTTTTTCTTCTTTATTTTAATGAGTAGTTAATGTTAACTTTAATGTTAACTTTCTTTGTGGTTCCCTTGAAATTTACCTCCATTTCCCAAGTTTAGACCAATCTTTTATTTCTTGATAATGCTTTGCCTTCCTCTCCATTTGAAAATTCTAAACCTACACCATTTATTCCCTCTTTTACTGTTCTGACTTGTCATCATTTACAGATTTACCTCTCTGGTTCCCTGTTGTAATTTTTTTAGTTTTGTTTTATCCTTGAGACTTCACTATCTAGGTTGGTATCTGGCTGATGCTGTCTTATGTGCTAGACTCAGGTGGTTGTCTGATACTGTTGGTTCTCTAATCGAAGGACTCCCTTTAATAATTCTTATAAGTTTGGTTTGGTTTTTATGTATTTCCTTAATTTCCCTTAATGTCCTAATTTCACCATTATATTTCAAGAAGAGTTTTGCAGGATATATTATTCTTGGTTGGCAGCATTTTTCTTTCAAGATTTTATATATGTCATCCCATTGCTTTCTTGCCTCATGGTTTCTGCCCAGTAATCAGAGATTAGTCTTATTGTTTCCCCTTCGTATGTGACTTTTAGTTTTTCTCAAGCTGCTCTCAGAATTCCTTCTTTGTCTTTGGTTTCAGTGAGTGCGACTATGATATGTCTTGGTGTTTTCCTTTTGGGGTCTATACTATATGGGATTTGTTGAGCTTCTTGGATAGTCAGCTTTTCTTCTTTCATGAAGTTCGAGAAGTTTTTGTCAGTAATTCTTCAATGATCCTCTCTGTGTTTTCTGTTTTCTCTCCTTCTTCTGGAACTCCAATCACATGCAAATTTTTACTTTTGATTGTATCCCACAGTGTTCTCAGGGTTTCTTCATTTTTTTTGTTTTTTCTTTTCTCTGATTTTTCCTCAAAGTGGTATCCAAGTATTTGTCTTCAAGTTCGCTGATCCTGTCTTCCATTGTTTCAAATTTGCTTCTAAAACCTTCTATTGCACTGACCATATCTGAAATCTTGTTGTTTATCTTTTGGATTTCTAATCGCTGTTTTTGTATGATTTCTAGTTGTTTATTTTGACATTTTATTCCTGTATTGTTTTCCTGACTTTTTCCATTTTTTTGTGTATCTTTTCCATGATTTTGTCTATTTTTTCCTTATTTTTGTCTCCGTTTTCTTTCATCTGTTGTAGAGTTCTGAATTTCCTATCAGGTAGTTCCAGTGCCTTTTATTCTAGCAGAAGGTCATCTGGTGTTTTATTCTGGTAGCTTTCTGGAGCCATCCTCCTGTTTTTTTCATATGTTTTGATATTATCTGCTGTCTCCAGGACATTCAGAAATTATTTTCTTTGTTTATTGATTGTAGATTTGATTGTTTCATCCTGATTTTTTGTTTTATTTGGTTATGTCCAGGCAGGCGGGCTGGGTGTGTTTTGTTGCTTGCTTATCTGTGGGCACAATACTTCTCACCACCTTGTTCAGGTGTGCAAAGCCGGTCACTCACCTATGGTGCAGCAGGGCAGATCCCACAGGGTGGGGGGGGGGTGAGGATGGGTAGTTTGCAGCACGAACTGGGGATGACAGGGCAGGGCTGGGGGACCGTATCAGTACCACTTGGGGACATGGCACTTGGTGAACAGTGCAGATATGCAGGAGGGAAAGGAGAGGATGTGATGTGCAGAGCTAAGTGGATGGGTAAAAGAGGAGAAAGAAGAGAGAGAAACAAAGACAAAAAAGTGAAAAAAAGGCAAAAAATGAAGGAAAAAAGCAAAAAAGGTGAATAAAATGGCAATGCAGTAGGATTTGGCAGGTGAGGGCAGGGCAGACACAGAGAGGCCATGTGCTGGTGGCTCTCTAGCCAAGCAGTGTGGCTTGACCTGCTGAGAAGCAGCATGCATAGTGCATGGTTCTAGGTGGGTGGGGGAAAAGAAAGAGGGGAAAGAGAGAGAAGAAACAATCAAACAAATAAGAAAAATAAAAAATAATAAGAAAAAATTAAAAAACAACAAAAAATATGGTGATGGGGCGCCAGTTGTTGGGGACGGGGCAGAATTGGGGTGGCAGCAAGCTGATGTCTCTCTCACTGGATGACACAGCATTGCCCATCAGGAAGGAGGGGAGGCAGCACAGGGCCTAGGTGGGAGGGAGAAGGAAAAGGAGAAGGGGAAAGATAAAGAAAAATAAAAAATATGGCACTGGTGGAGCTGGCCTGTGGCAGCAGTGCAGACCCAGGGAAGCCATGTGCCAGAGGCTCTCCAGTTGAGTGGTACAGCACAGCCCCCCAAGAAGTTGGGGGCGGCAGAGGGGGCTGGGTGGATGGGAGAAAGGAAAGGAAGAAAAGGAGAGAGAGAGAAGAAACAACCAAAAAAAAAAAGAAAAATAAAAAACCAAAACAATAAATACTTGGGTAGGCTGTGCACAGTGACTCTCTAACCAAACTGTGTGGCATGGCCCCTCCAGAAGTGGCAGGGATGGTGCAGAGGGCTGAGTGGATGGGAGGAAGGAAAGGGGAGAGAGAGAAAAAACAGAAAAGAAGAAGAAGAAGAAAAAAAGAACAAAGCGAGCAAACAAAAAAATCACAGCTCATCAAGAAGGAGAAGGGATGGCACACAGGGGTAGTAGGCAGGAGAAAGAAAAGGAAGGAAAGGACCTAGAGAAAAGCAACAAAAAAAAGCAAAAAAATCAAAAAATAAAAAACAAACAAACACACAAAAAACCCAACTCTCACCCCTCAAAAAAAAAAAAAAAAAAAGAACAAAGCAAAGAAACCAAAAAATCACATTCCATCAAGAAGAGGAGAGGATAGCACATGGGGTAGCTAGGTGGGAGAAAGAAAAGGAAGGAAGGGAGAGAGAGAAAAGCAACAAAAAAAAGCAAAGCAAGCAAACAAAATAAAGAAACAAAAAAATCGTGCTGAAGCGGCTGGCTAGTGGGGGCGGGGAGGACCCCTGCCTCAGTGAGCTAATGTCTCTCCTGAGGAGCAACTGCGGTCTGATGGCAAGCCGCGGAGGCCTGGTACTGGGGTGGGAAAACGCATATCCCTGGTTACCAGGTGCTCTGTCTCCTGTTGGGAACTCCATGAAGTTGCCTTCCTGTACTCCCTGTCTGAGTTCTTTGGTGGCTGTAGCCTAAGATGGTGAATCCAGCCACGTTAGCTGGTAGGGAACCTCCACTCTGTAGCTCTGGTTCTCTGTCAGTTTCTTACTGTATTTGGTGCTTGATCGAGTTCTTTTTTCCTTTATTTGGTATTTAGGGTTTCAGGATTGATGTTTTGTATCTGTTTTACTTAGTTTTTCGGGTCTTTGTTGCAGAGGGACAGCCTCCTGCTTCTGTCTATAGCACCATGTTGACTCCCTCCAAATTTCTTCTTGAAGAGGACAGCTATCCCAATCCTCACTGATGCAGTGGGCTAAAGAGTGTTTTGGGGTATACAAAAAGGTTTCCTTTTATGTGTGTGATTCCACTTCTTTCTGGACCGTCATTAGGACTGCCAGCCATGATATGAAGTCACTATTTCCAGAATGTAAATGTTTTTTAGGCTAGGTTCGGGGCTACCTTGACACTCTCTCATTTTGGGCCTCTGGAGTGGATCTCTGCGCCAGCAGAAGCAAAGTTTTCCTAAGACACTTCTCCTTTCTCTACACCCACTCTGGAGCAAGTCCTATTTAGAACAGTGTCCTTTTCTCTGGATGAAGCTGAAGTACCTCCCCAGTGGGTTTGACCTGGAAAGGAGTAGGCCGCTAGAAGCTCTCTGACCCGTTAGGAAAGGCTCTGAATCTGGTGGTGGCAGGTGGGGAGCAGGGGACAAGGCCAGATGCGTGCCAATCCTGCTACACCCCTTTTTGTACGCACCTAAGATGGCCGCCCCTGAGCATTTTTTTAAAAAAATAGATGCTTTCCACTAATAAGTGGAAAATGTGACACTTTACTGTGTATACAGGGATCACCAGTAGAAATGGAGAGAGAGAAACTGCACCGGTGTTCGGAGAGATGATCTATATGTGAATATGAGAAAGCTTAAAACCATAGGAGAGTCCAGATAAAATCAACATTGCCGGTGCTAAAACATAAATCGTGGACAGCTTTCACCATTTTCGTAAGAGCTAACTTGCAAAAAGTGACATAAACAACTATTCTAGAAGAAGAAAATACTCATTGCATGTACCGATCAAACAAGTGACTCGTTTTTCCATAAAAGAGCACTCCAGCGCATCAGGTTCATCTTACAATGACGACAGTCATTAAGGGTTATCAGTTTGTTCTGCCACCCTCCAGGGAGAAACTTTAGTCAATCTTACTGGAATAGGAGGAGGGAGAAAGAAGAAGGAAAAAAAGAAAATATCGTGAGGAAAAGTGGGGGCTAGTAATGGTGGTAATTGAGCTTATGCAGCCTGTTCCAATCCCCCCTTTTTACTGGAAGTTTCTCAGTCTTGGCAAACAGGGCCTTGCTTCTTTTCTGGCTACTTCCTGCTGGTTAGGGGCATCGCTCGGGTGAGAAACCTTCTGGTATCAGCTAGGGGCTATAGATGGGGGTGGGGGTGAGTTAGAGTGGAAGTTGGCTGCATCTTGGTGAATTAGATGCCATGCGTCCCCAAAGCCTGAAGAAGCGGGATCCCGACTTACCATGGTGAAAAATTTTCCAGCCTTAAGAGTATTTGTAGTTTCTCTTGTCAATATTTTCATAAAACGGAACAAAAAAACAAACTAGAATAATCACTACTCTTAAGGTTATTAAGGAGGTTAACCAGGATCCCAGGAAAGGAAAAATGCTGGAGAACTTTAAAAGGTCTTTTCCACCTAGGGGCCAATTGGTCCTATGGGTGCTGATTTTTTTTTTCCAGGTTTTCAACAGGACACAATCTTCGGGTTGGAACCTATGAAGGAGAATGTCAGAAGGGAAAGACAAAAGGTAAAAAGCATATTGATTAACAGTGTTTATAACGGTTCTCAGAGAAAGGACCCAGTCTCTTTTCTCCACCTCGGTCATTACTGAGGTGGGGAAAGTCAAGTTTTTCAGGAATGGTCTCCCACATATTCATTTATAAAAGCTTAATTTAAGCCCACTGTGAGGGGCTACCTGGATTCTGAGCAGGGCAATGGGCAAAACTTGTGTCCAACTGGAGTTTGTTTCCAGGCAAATTTTCGCCAAGGTCTTCTTCAAGGTGTGATTCATTTTCTCAGTTTGTCCTGTTGATTGTGGTTTCCAAGCTGAGTGTAACTTCCAATTTATATCTAGAGCCTTACTGACTTTTTGTGTAATTGTTGTCATAAAAGCTCCCCCATTATCTCTTTGGACTGAGATTGGTAGACGAAAACGAGGTATGATTTCTTTGAGCAATGCCTTGGTTACTTCTTGGGCTTGTTCAGTTCTACAAGGGAAAGCCTCTACCCACCCTGAGTAGGTATCCACAAAGACCAACAGGTATCTGAAGTTCCCGGGCGCCCGGGGCATTACTGTGAAATCCACTTGCCAGTCTTCTCCCATGCTTGTTTCTCAGTGTTGGACTCTCAGTTCTGTTGGGTGGGGCACAGTCTATGGGTTGTGTCTTGCACATAGGTGACACCTCTTTGTAACATCCTGAATGGTTTTTAGGAAATTCAGCCCGGTGGCCACCTGTTGGATTCACTTGAGGCTGGCATCTCTCTCAGAGAGAGTCTCTTCATGTAGAGCTGATACTATATCGTATACTTGGGCCTCGGGTAACAGTACTTTTCTTTCAGAGTTTATCAGCCATTTAGAATGAGAAGTGAGGTGATAGCCTCGTTCTTCAACCCTATCCAGGTCCTTGGTGATGTAGCTCCTGGCCTCTTGTTCTTCTCTCCGGATCTGGAGGGGCTAGGGCAGCTGTCAGCAAGGCTGGTTTTTGCTTTATATTTCCTTTTTATTCTGTCATCTGATCTCTGTTGTTGAAGACTTTCAAAACAATTTCGAGTAATTGCCCTGATTGAACCCTGACAACAGCCTCACAGAAAACACTAACTTGATGGGTGTGGGAGGAGGAGACCATACCTGAGGCAGTTGAACTCTCACTTTCTGGCTCTCTCTCCGCCAACCTCTTCTACCCCTCCTGTACTAGAATCAGGCTCCATTTCTCTGTCCCTACCTGTCCACTATGACTATGCCTTCTCCATATGGGGAGGGAGGACCAAAGCAAGTACCAGGACTAATCTTTTTAAGAGGGAGTCCTCTGTTGAGGACTCAGAGAGCACCTTTGTCTTTGGTTTTTCCTGAAAAAGAACTTGGTTAGAAGGATTTAAGGTCTAGTAGAAGGACATGAAAGCTTGGACCTCATCCCATTTCTTTTCTTTCTTACAAAATAAATCAAGTTGTAGAATTGTATGGTAAGCCATGGATCCATGCTGTGGCCATCCTTCCTGGTCTGTTAATTGATATTGGGGCCAAACAAGTGTGAGGACTTGGAGATTCCATCTAACAAACATAGTATTGAAAGGGAAACCTGGAAGATGCCACTTGTCTAAGTGATGAAGGTAAACATCACCAGTGATGTCATGTAGATCCCTGATAGGATGTGATGATAAGAACCCTTCACTTCTGTGTTATTCCTCCCCAAAATCCATATCTCCATGTGTCTGTCAGTTTGCCGTACTATGGGGGCTTGCATGTTGCTGTGATGCTGGAAGCTATGCCACTGGTATTCAGATACCAGCAGGGTCACCTTTGGCAGACAGGTTTCAGCTGAGCTTCCAAACTAAGACAGACTAGGAAAAAGGACCCGGCAGTCTACTTCTGAAAAGAATTAGCCAGTGAAAACCTTATGAATAGCAGTGAAACATTGTCTTATATAGTGCTGGAAGATGAGCCCCTCAGGTTGGAAAGCATGCAAAATACAACTGGTGAAGAGCTGCCTCCTCAAAGTAGAGTCCACCTTAATAACGTGGATGGAGTCAAGCTTTTGGGATCTTCATGTGTTGACAGGAGAGAATGTGCAAAATGAGAATAAACAGCTGCAAACATCCATTAATAATCGGAACATGGAACATATGAAGTATGAATCTAGGGAAATTGGAAATTGTCAAAAATGAAACAGAACACATAAACATCAATATCCTAGGCCTTAGTGAGCTGAAAAGGACTGGTATTGGCTATTTTGAATAGGACAATCATATGGTCTACTATGCTGGAAATGACAACTTGAAGAGGAATGGTGTTGTATTCATTGTCACAAAGAACATTTCAAGATCTATCCTGAAGCACAACGCTGTCAGTGATAGGATAATATCCATAAGCTTACAAGGAAGGCCAGTTAATACAACTATGATTCAAATTTACCCATCAACCACTAAAGCCAAAGATGAAGTCAAAGATTTTTACCAACTTCTGAAGTCTGAAATTGATCGAACATGCAATCAGGATGCATTGATAATTACTGGTGATT